GGATTTGACGCGTTCCTTACACAGATGAGACAAACTCTAAACTTACAGCCATCTCAGCTGGGTATTGTTACTGAAAATGCCTGGTGGTAATTTCTTCAACTGGTTATTGTTCAACCACCTACCAAAAGTAATACAAAGGAGTGTTAATTAAATTGTGCTTGTCAACATAGTGCAGGAACTGTGGTTGCTCGAAAATGTTGAGTGTCTGATGTCTTCTTTTTTAAAGAGCTAAGATAGGGTGCTCGTTTTTTGTGTGTCTGTGTGTGTATTTGTAAAAGACTGAAAACAACTGAATGCTTTACACATGCCCATTCTCCCTTCTCCCATTACCCATTGTTGTAATACATATGGCTGGACATTACTCACTAGTCCTCATTATAAGCTAGGCGACATTGATTGCAGAGAGGGGGAGAGTAAGGTAACAGGAAACAAAATTTCTCAATAGTTTTGTTTAAGTTTTCTAATACAGTGTCTTCACTTGTACAAGCACAAATGATCACACCATGTTTAAACTTCCCTGAGCAGCGTCAGCTCGTTTAATATTTATTATTCCTAAAGAAATTCTTTGAAAGCTTAAAAATTAAAGAAACCCGACATGTTAGTCTTGTGGTCAAGCTAAAAGAAGCAGAGTGGACACCATTGTCGCGAACAGAGAGCCCTGCATCGAAGAGGATCTAACTCGAAGGGTTAATAATCTTTGGGGATAAATGAAACAGCTCTATAAAGTTTTAAAGAGCATTTCTGGACTCAAAATCGATTGGTTCCATTTTCCTCTCTAGGATTTTCTCGTCCATCATTACTGACACCTCTGAGAGGGGTGATTTCTTAATCATAGTTCTTTATTTCATGTGCGCATAGAACGTTCTCTCTTCGTCCTTCTCTATATGACGTTGCATTTTATCCTTTCTTGCCTTTTTAAAATCTTACTACTGCCAACCGATTACTCGAATCTTCAAGGGACTTTGAAAAAGGTTCGAGTTATCTGTTAAAATAAGTGGACTGGAATTAAAGGAAACGTTGTTTGCTGTTTTTAGTGTTCATGCAGTATACTTAAAGCACCAAAAGTCTGTTTTGCGAAGGACGCCAAGGCAAAAATCTGCAACGTACTATATGTAAAACCAACGAAGAGCATTTTTTAGTTTTCCTCCATCACCTCAAATTACCATATTCTAAGGGCATCGGAACGGACATAATTTTTAGCGGTATTACACTGAGGGGTGTATGGAAAATACTAATGGAATTTGATTTGCACTTAGTGTTTAATAGTTTTGGTGCCAGAGCGTTGTCCCAGGGAGTATGGGGACCAACCCCCCCCCTCATTTTATTTAAAGAAGCGACGAACCCAATATTAAAAATAACGGTCAGCCAGAGATATAACGTAAAGATCTATAGGATGTATGGAATGCCCTACGAATTGTAAGTTACAGTTCGTTGAACTCTCAAATGTTATTCTGTATTTAAAAAAATGTGTATTTGTTTTTTTAGTTTGACTTGCTTCCTCTGGCAACTAGTACGAAAATAAACGGGTCACCATACATCTGTAACCTTTAGTCGAATTTCCGGACGCAGCCCAGGAACTGCGAGATCACGCGTACGTGGACGATATCGCGGGCTCCAAAAGCAACTCAACAGAAGCCAGGAAAATAACGAAAGAAATTGACACCATCCTCGGAAAAGGCAAGTTTCAAATTAAGGCGTGGCACTCCAACTGCTCGGAAATCGATCAGTCTAGCGGTGAAAGATTTACAGATCTGCTTGGCCATGTATGGAATGCCCTACGAATTGTAAGTTACATTTCGTTGAACTCTCAAATGTTATTCTATATTTAAAAAAATCTGTATTTGTTTTTTAGTTTGACTTGCTTCCTCTGGCAACTAGTACGAAAATAAACGGGTCACCATACATCTGTAACCTTTAAAGCTACAGTAACGCTTCACTTTGAACGCGCGAATCAGTTATAAATTCTACGAATTGAAAGTTACACCATCGACTTCAAAATCCCGAAGGACAGCATCGTGAGGCAAAGCTACTGGTTTTAAAGAACAACTGATAGCGAAACAAGCGACTGATCGACCTTGGAATCCGTTACAGCCGGGTCACGAAAGAAACGCCTCATTTTCCAGAACAAACGACTGCCCAAAAGCGAGCGACTGACCGTTCTAGAAAATATTTCAATCTACACTTTTGGTGAAAGAACAGCAACCTCGCAATGCCACCGAGAGTTGATGTAAAAACCCTCACGGGAAAAATTAACAATGGAAGAATTTGAATCCATATTCGCTATAAGACCGGGACTTGAAAGACTCGAAACAGTGTTCAATTTAGTGGAATCGAAGTACAGATCTGTTAAAAAGCAGCAAGAGGTGATCTCGGACAAATTAATTGCAGAAGGCGTTTCATCGGAAGATGAATTGGTGTTAATGAACAGAAAACTCTGGGACAAAGTAAAAGCTGATATTCCTCATATCGCCTCGAAATACGCAGCGTATCAAAGCGAAAATAGTCATCCAAATGTTCCTGACCACAAAGAAACCTTGAAAACGATGAGTTCTGCAGTTGAGAAAATGGCCATTGCAATGGGATCGAAACCCAGCAGCCTTGAGCGATTGACAGTTCCGATCTGGGACGGAAGTCGCAGAACGTATCAGAGGTGGAAAAGAGAGTTTAGACACTGTATGGCAAAATATGGACAAGACAAAGATGAACAACTTAAAAGATTCCGAAAAGCAATACCTAAGGATTTCTTCTGGACAGATCAAGTCAAGACTTGTAAAGATGTTGACCAAGCCTGGGAAAATTCTCCAAAATAAATTCGCAAATGAGCGAAAACTTATGGACGAACTGTTAGCTGAAATGAACAATTTGAAACAAGTTAAACGAGACTGCAAGTCACTCACGCGTTGCGCCATGACGATTTCCATATTTGTCAGTGATATGAAAGACAGCGGCTGCGTCGTGTTAGAGGCGTCAGAAGCTCCGTTTTTCATGTCTCAGCTATTATCGAAGCTCGATCAAAGAGACAACACAAACTTTGGAAGAGAGATGCAAAGAGCGGGAAAGGAAGAGAATGTGTCAAACCTCGTAACCTGGTTACATCGAGAGGCAACCCTCCGCTCCAGAGGAAAACGAGACAATGACAACGCCGACGAAAAAGAACGTACCCACCAAGGACCAACCTTTAGAAGAACAGATAACCACGCAGCAAACAATGAGCAAGAAGCGTGTCCACTCGGTTGTACGTCGAAGCACCATTTAGCGGCCTGTCCGTTGTATCAAAGTTCAACTGTAAATCAAAGAGGGGACGTAGTCAAACAGAGCAACAGATGCCGAAAATGTCTCAGGCCACATCATACGAACGACTGCAGGAAGCCGGACGGTACTACCTGCGAGAAATGCAAAAAGAACCACCACCATTCTCTTCACAACGAGAAGATTAATTCGAATTTAAGCCC